AGAGAGTCCGTGAGTATACGCCTCGAGTTTAATATACAAATCGCTACGCGTTTACATATATAGTGGTTCAAAAACCAGGGAAGACACCAATTGAGGCAACACAAGATTTATTAGCACTCTTGCTGCAGGGTCCCTACCCGATCGATACCTGGGGAGGTATGGCCTTCGGGCTGCACGGACCTACCACTGGGACCCTGCTAATTTCCCATCCTCCGGCTGGGCCCTAGGGGAGGCTTTGCTGACCCGACCGTGCCAGGGTCTTCGGGTCCTGACCACTGGCCTCGCTCAGCTCCGGCCCTTAGAAGGACGACGGAGCTTGGGTCCAGGGTCCTAGCTGCAGCCCAGGTCTTCGGAGTGGAGGTGACTGACTCTATCGTTCAAAGGTCCGATTTATATACAGGTCCTGGGCTTGCTCCGCCCTGGCCCCGCCTTCCAGAACCTTCCACCAGTTCCTGTAAGGGTGACGTCATCCCCCAATCCCCCCTCTCGGGTTCTGGGGATTGTGTCCCAGGATCTGTTGTCCCAGAGATCACGGATGGCCACTTTGGCCATCGTCCTTTAACATCGGCGTAGCCACTCTTCCGCCCCCTGTTGACCCAATAGCGACACACGAGGTTGGGGAACAAAAGTCACAATTACATACGATTTGCATTTTCGACGCTTTCAAATGCGACCGCATCGCAAGATGTTTTACTTGACCGTAAATAGGATAATTTATTAAAATATCTATTTAGAACTTAGTCCAGGACTTATCACGCCCACGGGTGGTACAGCAACGCCGCCACGTGGTGCAAGGCGGTACCGACTAATGCCAATGAGCGTTTGCGTCGGGTGCTAATATTTAGCTGTAATGATATATTTTCGGTATAAAAATCAAAAATCAAATTTAAATATACAGTATAATGTAAATCTGTATACAACGTTTTTAAAAAAAACACAATTAAGATTGTGTTACATGTAATGTATCCGTTTTGAATTCACCACGATACGACCCATAGATAACTTTTGGCATCTTCCCATAAGTAATTGCGCGGGATTCTAACAATATGCTGTACTGTACTTATTATAAAACACGTGTAGTGTAAGTAGGATCATTCATGAAAATATAAAGCGCGTAGATTAATTATCTTGAACATGAGAATCGATTACAAACATCAGTCTATTCACACACTCACGTGGGTAACACGCCACCAAGTGGCGCAAGGCGATATGGCCGTAATGACATAATTCCCATAGGCCATTGCGCGGGATTCTAACAACAACATTCTTTTACATTTTCATGCAAAAAGATTTCCAGCTCCGACATTTTACGTCAAGTTATTTACGATATTTAATTGTTCCGCGTAGTTGGATGTATTACATGTGATGATAGCTGTTTCCCGATAATCATGGTTTGACCCCATAGCGTAGAGCAATAGTCTGTGGGTATGTGTACCCCACCGCCGACTGCTTTACGTTATCGCTTCTCGGCCTTTTGGCTAAGATCAAGTGTAGTATCTGTTCTTATCAGTTTAATATCTGATACGTACCACATTGTGGTACCTTATATTAAATTGATTTTTGGGACAGGGAGATGGAATAGGGGCTTGCTCCGTCCACTCCGCGCATCAACCCGGTATTGCAGTACCTCCGGGAATGGTGCACCTCCCCGCTTGGGGAGGGAAAATATAAAAAAAATAGATTTCAGCCTAGTATTTTCCACTGTTTTTTTGTTACCAGACATTTCCGGCCACGTCAAGCATAAATTCTGTCTTTTCTCCATGGAATTCTCATCTACAGCACAATGGAATCACCGATCTTGTAGATATTGACCCCAAATGTATGATTAACCTCATATTTTGTTGTTGGTTTTCTTATGCACGTCTTTCTGAGCGTCCGGTTCTATATTAAACTTTATTCGATGAACACGTAGAAACCAGTGGTATTATCGATGTCCGATTGCATATTAATTCAGTGAGTATAATAATAGGTTTCTACCCTTTTATCAGGCAACAAAACTGATACCATTTTTTAACACCATGTGAGACTGGGCTCTAAGAAAAGCTGTCTCAAGGAAAGTGTATACATTATCAGTGTTGTCTTTTTGTTTGCATTTTGACCGCAAGTGTTGTGGTTAATGCAAACATGATCCCTTGTAAAAAAAAGTATCAGTTTTGTTGCCAGATAAAAGGGTAAAAACCTATTATTATATCTTGCTACTGGCAAAGGAGGTCTCATAATGTAAATTCTGTGAGTGTAAACAAAACATTTTCGGGGTAATGGAGCTTTACTCCCTCGCTCTCCAGAATGTATATTTTATTTGCATTGTTTTTAACACGGGCCTTTTGTCAATATACTGCTGGATGAAGGCCTCACTTAGCCTCCCAAATTACATCAGCAGACTTGCTACTGGTCTCACACCCTCCGATCTGTTTTTACCCCATTGTCACTCAACCCATCAATCTCACCGACACTGTCACCACATCCATCACACGCAACACACCGATACACTTTGCGTGTTGAACTTCTTTCGCACCGTACGTAGCCAACCTAAACACAAAAGCAGTTTATCAAACAATGGAACCTCCCATTTTCATTATTTTCCTCCAGTCTACAATATTCTACAATATCATATTATTCGTTTCATAAGTCTATACCCGTGTTACCTGCAGCTTAAAAAGTAATCGCAGTCGTGTATGTCAAAAAGCGACATTTTTTTTGGTGGGGGTGTTGAAAACATTTATGGTCCCATTACGACCAGCATCTTCTCCATCACGCGCCTATACAACGCAACAGATTTCAAAGACAGAGACACACAGGGTAGCCGGCCGGCAGCAGCCAGAGGCAACGCATGTAGCGGGCAGGAGCGATGGAGCCGGCTCACGCCTCTTCTAGCCTCACCAAGACCGCTGTCAGCTGAAGTTGAGTGGAGCAGATGCGCTGTGCGGACGTGGAATGGGTGGTCTGTGTGTGTAGGGGCCGTAGGCGTGAGTGAAGTTCTGACTTGACGTCTATTATGCCTCTGGCTTTGTGGCCGTATTTTCTCTGGGGCGTGTGGCACCATTCGAGGGGCTGGTCTCACCATCTCTCTCGCTGCGTGTACGTTCATTTGTTTGCACTCACTGAATGTGTAAAATGCAAACTTTGACACAGAATTAAGATAAAGTAGGGCATCGGAATGCAATGGTCGTGTCTGCACTCATTGAATGAAGTTTAATAAAAGATCGGACACTCAAGAGTCAAGCTGATGATATAGTTGGACATCAGAATACACTGAATCGCGGCTCTGATAAAGTCGGTCATCAGTATAACATTCAAATACATTTTTTACACAGCGACCTAACATAGCAATCTGATCAACTAAATGAACAGATTCATATACGTAGAAATCTGGCATAAATGTTCGTTTATTGTTGTATACCCATTGAAGCGCGGAATGCGATTTAAGATTAAATTTGACACTAATCAAGACGGCTGCCAGATCGACTTTGATCTGGCTCCGGATCGACTGAGCGGAATCGATACAATTAGCCTCGATCCTCGATCCACAAAGAGCAGCATCCATGCGGCACGACTCGGATCGATGATTGTGCCCGAGTTGATCGAATTACAGCGCCCCTAGGCCAGCCCTAATCCAGCCGCCTCCCCCGCATCACCACCGCCAACATCACAACCATCGTCACCATTATCACCACTACTACCATCATCATCACCATCAGCACCACCAACCACCATCATCATCATCACCACTACCACCTCCATCATCATCATCACCATCACCACCACCATCATCATCACCTACACCACCTACATCATCATCATCATCACCACCACCACTACCTCCATCATCATCACCACCACCACCATCATCATCACCTACACCACCTACATCATCATCATCACCACCACCTCCATCATCATCATCATCACCACCACCACCTCCATCATCATCACCACCACCATCATCATCACCACCATCATCATCATCATCATCACCTACACCACCGACATCATCATCATCATCACCACCACCATCATCACCATCATCATCATCACCACCACCTCCATCATCATCATCACCACCTCCATCATCATCACCACCTCCATCATCATCATCATCACCACCTCCATCATCATCACCACCTCCATCATCATCATCATCACCACCTCCATCATTACCATCATCACCATCACCACCATCATCACCACCACCTCCATCATCACCACCTCCATCATCATCACCACCACCTCCATCATCACCATCATCATCACCACCACCTCCATCATCATCATCACCACCTCCATCATCACCACCTCCATCATCACCATCACCATCATCCCTCGGCCTCCCTAGGGGCCATCCATTTAGTACGTACGCATGGAGGGGGGGGGTCTACTGACAATGTAGGCCTAGGAAACGGGGGGGGGGGGGGTGAAGCCTCGATAATAATTTGTCTACGTTGGCCTTCAAATGAGTTAGATAGTCCGGCGGTGGACTATCTGTTTGCTTAAACACGTTCATATTATTAATCATTGGTCGTTTTTGCGTGGATTAAATATGGGCCGTTCTATAGGATTCAGGAGGGGGGGGGGGGGCGGTGTAAAAAGTCCGCGTGCGTACAGGGAGGGGGGCTAGGGGTCAAGTTTGACAAATTGTTGCGGACCGACTCAATGATGTCCCCTGGCACCACTCAGCGCCATGCCCCTCCCCTCATCCCCCTCACTACCCCCTCACCCCGCCCCTCATCCCCCTCACTCCCCCCTCACCCCGCCCCTCATCCCCATCACTACCCCCTCACCCCCCACAAACCCCCCATCACCCCGCCCCTCACCCCCCACAGACCCCCCCCATCACCCCGCCCCTCACCCCCACAGACCCCCCCCATCACCCCGCCCCTCACCCCCCCCATCACCCCGCCCCTCACCCCCCACAGACCCCCCCCATCACCCCGCCCCTCACCCCCACAGACCCCGCCCCTCACCCCCCCATCACCCCGCCCCTCACCCCCCACAGACCCCCCCATCACCCCGCCTCCCCGAGCCGCCATTCCCCGTCTCGGCTGCTCACTGTCCCCCTCCCCCGTCTTTGTTGTCGCTCTCGGCGCTCCGTCCTCGCCGTCACTCGCGGGCCACCGAGCCGGGCACCGAGAGGGGCACTGAGCCGGGCACTGAGCCGGGTACTGGAGACGACGCAGCCGCCGGAACCCCGAGCAGAGCGGTGAGCGAGATGGCGTGAGACGCACGCGCACTGTACGCGCGTGCGGGCCACAGTGCATCGCGCACTGTACACAGCATCGCGCACTGTACACGCAACGCATCGCGCACTGTACGCGCACTGTACGCGCACTGTACACGCACGCATCGCGCACTGTACGCGCACTGCACACACACACGCGTCGCGCACTGTACGCGCACGCGTCGCGCACTGTACGCGCACTGTACGCGCACGCATCGCGCACTGTACGCGCACTGTACGCACACGCATCGCGCACTGTACGCGGTTTAACAGCGGCGCCGCGCGTTCCAGTGCTGCTGCGCGTCTCGCGGGTGACCACAGCTGATTGGTATCGTACACTGCCGACATCACTGCACGTTCGTGTTGTACGCGGTGTGTGTGTGTGCACGGTACGCGTTGTGTACTCATCTAATTAGAACTGCGTTTTGCGTTCCGTTTGCCGTCCGGTTCCCCTCCGCTCCCCCGCACATCGGATGAGCACGTTTGGCTACGCACGGTGCGAAAAGAAGTTTTACATCCAGCAGCATGCTTTGCTCGACCCACAGCTTCTCTTAACGCAGTACAACGCAGTTGTGCGGTGCATTACCCTGCGCCGCGTTCCCTGCGGTACACGAAGCTACGTTGAAAGTGCTTTTACAGTGAACACCAATGCGGCTGAGCCCCCCCCCCAAGTGGTGCGAAATTCCACAATCCCATGACGGGAGCCATGTAGGGCCGGGGAAGCCTTGTTGCAGACCGCCCACAACGTAGTACTTGTATTATCGACCCCGGGAACATGATGTCTGTCATTCGTATGTATGGATCGGGCATTTGAGTCGTCGTTGTGCGTGGTGCTGCAGCGGTCTGTCGGCGCGGACGCTTGACTGAGAGCGTGGGGAGTGAACATCGCTTGGTCGCTGAGACGTGGTAAGTGACATTCACTCTCCGAATCGGTGCTCATTTTGTGAGCGAAGTTATTGTACTTGGTTAGATTTTTTTTTTCCCTTAGCAATGGAAGTTAATTGAGTGGTCGGCAGAGTGCCGAATCGATGTCTGTTTGCTTAATTTTTTCCTCGTGCGGTTCTATTGTGGGTTTTTTTTGTTGTTGTTGCTCTTTATTATTTTAGTGACCCGTGCTATGCCGGTCACTTAAATTCTCGCTTGGTTAAATTGGCTTTGTTGTGTTTTTGCTGTCCTTCCGCACCGCACCTCCGATCAGTACGGTTGGCTACGAACGCACAGTGCGAAAGACGCTTAAACGTACAAACAAAATACGCATTGGACTTTAAATTACTGTTGAGTGCAAATTATAGAGAGGGCCGCTGATGTGGAGTGGAGGCATAACCTCTGCTTCATAATAATCCACGTGTGGAGTCTCTGCAGCATTGAGTCTGGATATAGTGTTTTGAAGAGTGACCATGCACACCAGGTTGTTTTAGGCTATGGGACAATGTTGTTGCAGAGGGCAATGCAGCAAATTCCAATGTTGAACTGTTTTTTTTATTTTTACCCCCGTGTGGTGAATTATGGTCAAATAACTCCCATGACCCACACGACGTGGCATTGCCCTCATCCATAAGTGACTTGATGAAAGGGCCGTGCGTGTTCATGTACAGGCCCTGCACATCGATAAAGCCAGAGCCGTCCAGAGGGTACACTGAATCGGGGGTGGCATGCCCTGGGCCCCGCGCTTTGGGGGGGGGGGCACGCTATGACGTCACGGTGTCGGATGTAATACTTCCGGTTTAGTTTAAAGGTGTCGGGGGGGGGCAATTGGGCCCCGCATCCCCCTATGGACGGCCCTGCCCATACCATACGCTTGGTGTATATGTAGTGGCAGCTTACAGCAGCCCTGCCTAACAGCAGGTCACGTGATAGACCAGAGAGAGGGATCTAGGGGAAGGATCACGGAAGGGCCACATCGAGAACCCGCTCGGAGGTTCCAGAAAGGGGCGTGGCCGGGGGCGGAGCCAGGCCACGCTGACAGTATAAAAGAGGGGCCCCTTGAGGGGACCTCGAGGCTGTCGTGTGGAGTGGGGTCCCCATCGTGCTGCTGCTGGAGTCTTCACCGTCGTCTCTGTCTTCACCATCTCGGTGTCACCAGTGAGGCAGTCGACCAGCTGTCCTGGTAGACTGCCTGACTGATTGGGAACCGTAGTCACTAAGTGTTCACTGTCAGGCCGTGTTAGTAAACAGAGTGCCTCCTACTCTTAGTGTCTCTGAGTCAGTCACTACACATACACAGCTTCGCGTGGGCATTCTCTTTGTTGAATTTGCAAAAAATACCCCCAAAAATATGATACCTGATAATGTTTTTATAAAGTCACTTGGTTCTCGCATGTTTTACTCAATGAGATTTCATTGGCGTGTGCTCATACATGTGTTTGTGTGTTTACAGGACCGCCGTGCCACGTGCAATCATGAGCCTAAGCAGCGATGAAGTCAATTTCTTGGTTTACCGTTATCTGCAGGAGTCGGGTGAGCATGGGTAATGGGCTATGCAGGGTTTCCTTGGAAGAAAATGAGTATCATGGGAGATACAGGGGTCTTCCATTCCAAGCATAGGGATGTTTCCACCAAACAGGGGTCTCCAGGACTAAACGCATGTCTCCGAGGATGGACTGGGGGGTCTCTGACGAGGTTATGCGTCAGTGGGCTCAGTAAGATCTCGCCAGCCTGAGCGGATTATTTCCCGGCAGCTGTGTACCCATACCCAGCAGCATGGGGAGAACTTGGCAGCGTATTTAATGACATGCGAAGTCTGATCACAGTCATCTTTTACGGTCTCCCCAGTTCAGCCTCTAGGGTATTATTTCCATCATCAGCTGTATACGGGCTCATTCTGTGCCACACTTCAGGTATCTGAGTCTGCACAAATTTGGCAGTAGACCTTGTCTGGCTTGAGCCATGCTTGAGCCATGCCAAAATCCCTCCTGAGATGTGTGCAAACTGCTGGCCAACTACAAGAAACGTCTGACCTCTGTGATTGCCAACAAGGGTTTTGGCACCAAGTACTAAGTCATGTTTTGCAGAGGGGTCAAATACTTATTTCCCTCATTAAAATGCCAATCAATTTATAACATTTTTGACATGCGTTTTTCTGGATTTTGTTGTTATTCTGTCTCTCACTGTTCAAATAAACCTACCATTAAACTTATAGACTGATCATTTCTTTGTCAGTGGGCAAACGTACAAAATCAGCAGGGGATCAAATACTTTTTTCCCCTCACTGTATATATATATGGAGATGGAGCACTGCCAAAATGGTTTACCAACATATCTACTTCCCAAGTCATCACAGCCCCACGTGGATTCGTGCCCACAACAATTGCCACCTTGCCCGGGTTCAGACACAAAAATTGCTTGGGGTTTTTTGTTGTTGTTGTTGTTGCTCTTGTTGGCGCTTTAGCCAGACCCTGCCGACGTTGGCGGGTTAGAACGCGCGAGCGTTGAAACGAGCCGCTGATCTCGGCCCACGTGTCGCGGCGCAGGCTTCTCGCACTCGGCGTTCTCCTTCGGCATGGAGAGCCGCGTGAGCCGCGCCAGCATCAACGGTGCCCTCGTGCCCCCCGCCGCGCTCGTGTCCGTGCTGCAGAAGGGCCTGCAGTACGTTGAGGCCGACATGTCCGTCAGCGAGGTGGGTGTGGCATTGGTGGGCGGGTGGTGGGCCGGTGGTGGCATTGGTGGGCGGGGGGGGGGGGGCGGCGCATGCTGTGCCTTCGCAGCACGTGTCTCATGATGTCATCGTAATCGCGTGATCAGTGTGGGAGTGTGTGATGAATCTTTTCGTGACTGTGATCAATGTGTGATCAATGTGTGACTAATCAGTGTTCGAGCGCATTCTGTAATTTTGTTTAGATTATTGACGTTATTTAGCTGCTCTCAATTTCCACGTAAGCCACTTTGGTGAGCTTTTGTGGCCAGGTTACTTTTGAAAAAGAAGCTAATAGCTTAGTGGACTTTACCTGGTAAGATAAAAAAATTGTTTAGTTTTTTGTTGTATATATTTTTTTAAAAGTGATTTGTTTACTTTTCTTATGCTTTGTACTTCTATAATGTTTTTTGTGCAGTTGTAACGTTCTGACCTACCCCTACTGGACTTCTGTGAAAAAGAGCTTTATAGCTCATCGGATTCCTCCAGTATAAATAAGTATTCGGATTCTGAATGTGGGACTGTGTGATTAATGTGTGCCTGTGATCAATGTGTGACTGAAACTAATGTGCGACTGTGTGGTTAATGTGATGAATGTACAATGTTGTAGACTGTAAGATTTCATTAATGTTCTGCTACATCAGTCTCTGTATAACTGGGTTTCAAGTCCTGCACCGAATATTGCTGCTTGCTCACTACCACCTATCCCTCATTCCTAAAGCAACCCTGCTAGGCTCTTCCTGGTGTTACTCAGCATGTAAGCAATATCATCGATACCATTTTGAGAATATCCAAACGTCCACACATTTCTCAAACATTCATAACTTTATAAACAAGTGATGCCACCATCTCCCACTAAAATAAACATGTTCAGTAATTTCAGCGGCTCTGCCCGGGGAAAAAAATAATGTCAGAACTTTAAAGAAGGTTAAGTTGAAGATGCGGACCATCACATTTAAAGGGTAACACTTGAGCACACTTCACCCAATCTCTTCTGAAAGGTTGAGGCACCATCCGTTCCATTTGTTACTTGATCTCAGCCCCTCGCCCTTTCTTCGCATGCCAGCTCTGCTCACCGCACACGTCTCTCTCGCTCCCTTCCCTCCAGGCACAGCAAAACATCATGCAACCCTACGATGAATGTCAAGGCCCATGTACACTCGGCTAGCCAACGTTCCTTCATTCATTTCAGTGCTCTGGGCATCTCTTCACGTCCTCCCCTTAATGATTATTTTTGTCCAATTACTCGAAGCACATGGTGCTTACTGTAACTTGTTCTGTTCTTGTTTTTCTTGCTGCCTCTGTTGACCTGTTTAATTACATTTCACCAATGATGAAATGTTTAAACCGAGCATATATTGCCGTGGACTCCCATGATAAGAATACACGTTATTTGGTTATGCTGCTGCCGTGTTGGCAGTGGTGCTCAAGCAAAATTAACAAATAAAACTCAATTCATGCGCTATGAAGAAGGATCATTGCCTGAAACGTCACCTATTATATATTTTTTTTATTTTACGGCCTCCGTGTTGTTGCTAAGAATAGGGCATCTGATTACTATTGATGTAAAAAATATAGAAGAGGTAATCGAATACCATTAACACTGTTGTTAAATCTGATTGCAACTGTTAATCACGATGAAGATGCAAGCACCATTGCACACGTGTTGAGTAAACACACGGCTAGCGCGCCGCGCTACGAACCCTGCGACCTGACTTCAATTTCCATTTTGGGCTTCCACCTAGGTCATCTCGGCCTCAAATTAATATCTGCTGCGATGTGTAAACCTCCGCTTGGAAGATGAAGGTGGCTGGATGTGGTGCTGGCCCACCCGCCCACCCTCTCGCGTGCTGCGCCTGCGCCGGCCTTCATAACTGCTACTCGCTCAACAGCACTCTCCCCCGACAGTCTCTCGAAGGCTACACGGGGAATCTTTGTCTTCGCATTAAGCACAAACGCGTTGGCACGACGTGTCCCCTCCCGCTCCAGGATGGCTCGGCGTTCCGCCCCATCGAGCTGCTCTCCCTGGTGGACGCCGTGATGCCGGCTGTCGTGTCGTCGCGCCCCCACGCCTACCGCCCCAGCAGCCAGCAGCCGGGGACGCCCCCCAAGAACGGGGGCGGCCCGCCGATGAACGGGGTTGACGACTACGGGGCGCACGCTCTCGGCGGTGAGAGCGCGAGCGAGCGATACGTGGGTGGCGGCGTCGGCGTCGGCGAGCGGCGCGGCCTCGCCGCGGCCGGCGGGCCGAGTGCCGCGCCACGAGCGTTCCATCGCCGCAGGGTTGGCCTCGACGCCGACGGTGCCCGCTGGCCCAAGGCTTGGAATGATTTGGGGATCGGGGAGGCTTGTGTTCTCGGCCGTACATGTCGCGGCCTTCATCTGAAATTGTATGGATTTATACCGCGCCTTATTTCATGGTGCTTTTTTACGGCAATAATGCAGTTGTACGCGAGATGACAGTGGGGTTGGTAGTGATCGGGATAGTGATAGGGGGGTAGAGGTAGTGATAGGATTAGTGATAGTAGTTGGGGTAGTGTTAGGGGTTGGGATGGGGCCTGGTCGTAGCTGGGGGGGGCGGGGGCAGGGAGTAGCCGTAGCAGGATGGGCAAAGGATAGGAGATGACGATGATGGGGTTTCATAAATGAAACTGCTATCCACATTCTGGAAGCAGCCGTTAGTTCTCCTGGTCGTCGCTCGAAAACGTGTGTGTGTTGTATCCTGAGCAGTGTTCATGTTAATGAAACGGGTGACGAAAATGTTTGTTTTGGATGATTGTGATTTGTAATGTTGTGGTACGCTAGGACCTGCAGGTGTTAGTCTCCTCTAAGCTCCGTGTGTGTGCGTACATGTTCATAATTATTGTTGGGAGTGGTAGTTGCAGCTGTTAGCGCTACGCTGCGCTACGGATAAGGGCAACCCGAGAATGATTCCCGCTCACGGCCAACATCGGTGATGATTATCTGAACCGGTCCTGGGCCTCCCCTAGGTCGACACAAACCTCAAATGAGTACCTGAAGGGGTGTGTAAACATCTCCACTGAGGAGACAAAGGCGGCCGGGCGTAGTGCTTGGCCACCCCACCCCCTCGTGTGCCGTGCCGGCCTTCATAGGTGCTCACTAACAGCACTTGCCCCAACATTCTGTTCAGGCTCTACGGGGGATCTTTGTCTTTGTGTGTGATTGCTCTGCGCTGTGTCCTTCCCTGCACCCGTGGCCACCTGTACGCCCGTGCTGCCCCTCCACCCCTCCAGAGCCGCTGGTGGATGGGCCTGACGAGGGCTCGGTGCAGCTGTTGAACAAGGTGTCCGTGCTGCGCGGGCACGAGTCCGAGGTGTTCATCTGCTCCTGGAACCCGGCCCTGGACCTGCTCGCCTCTGGGTACGATTGGACTCTCCCACCACGTGACTCACGAGCTCTAGCGGCGGTATTTTTTCACAGACGAGTGCCTGGCTGGCAGACAACACGGGTGTCCGTGATGTCACAGGTTACCCGATGGTGCACCACGGCGGTGAGAGGGGCGCCAAGGAGGTGAGGTGTTAACTGCCTCGCCTGGTGTACAGGAGGTCGTGGGTTCGATCCCGACCCTGACACCTGCTGCTGTATATTTGGAGTTTGCGTGTCTCTCTCATCATCATCATGGTGGCTAGGAGATGTTAACTACCTCACCTGGTGTACAGGAGGTCGTGGGTTCGATCCCGACCCTGACACCTGCTGCTGTATATTTGGAGTTTGCGTGTTCTGTCCGTGGTCGTGTGGATTTTTCTCTGGGTCCTCGGGATTTTCTTTCCACATTTAGAAACGTGCGTGAAGAGTATTTGGCTGCTATCAAATTTCCACGTGATGAGCCACTTCGTTGAGCTATCATTTGTGGCCAGGTCGCTTCTGAAAAAGAACTGTACGGCTCAGTGGGTCTTACCTGGTAAAATACAAAAAATAGTTCAGTTTGGTTTGGTTAATCTTTCTCAGCATTTTTATGTTGAATTATAAAACATAAAAAATAAATGTTTACCTGCAAACTACGTTGAGTGGAATGAAAACAAATGTCCCAATCCTTTGTTTTCTTGAAATTGAAAATATTTTCATACTTCAATATATTGGCAGGATCAAAATGTACTTCTTATTGCAATGGAGGCTTATTTATAATTATTGAATCGGTTACCGTTGTGTGTTTGGAAGACTCGCGGCAGGGCTCACGTTGCGTGAACTGCAGTTGAAGAATGTTTAAGCTAATCTTTATCCTACTGGAAAACACAGCAGAGCACAAAAACAACAACGCAAACGTGAAATACAATTACCAGAAACTGATGTGGCGATAATGGTCGTGGAAAGTTATGTCATGCCAACAAGTCCGAGTATAGCTGACAGTGGTTTCGGAATACATGCGGTCCCCTCTTATATGATGTCACAATGCGTTCTTGGTAACCCCGTTGTAAATCGGATCGTCGTAAATCAGACCCCCGTTTCCCATAGACCGTAGAAACAGTAGACGTCACTTGCGGGTGTATTTTTCCTCGTCAGCCGTATCTAACGGGGTTTAATAGGTATAGATCCATGCAAACATTTGAGAATAACAAAAGCTCCACCCCAAGTCGCATCGAAAACGTGTTCAGAGTCGTGCTGGAAGATGTGTCGTAAATCAAGCTTCTGCGTCGTAAATTGATCCATCGTGGCGTTATATAAACGTTTTAAATGTTGATTGTCGTAAATTGATCCATCGTGGCGTTATATAAACGTTTTAAATGTTGATTGTCGTAAACCAGACCGTCGTAAACTGGAGACCCGCCTACATCGCGTTTAAAAACGTCGCGCGCACATGGTGGCTTAAACAATAAATGTTTACTTCCCGGAAATTAACACCTTGACATGACACCATTGCTGTGCCAGGTCAGGTGACTCTACAGCCAGAATCTGGGATGTGCGCGAGGGCCCGGGAGGGGCGCCGGCGGAGGGCTCCAGCCAGCTGGTGCTGCGCCACTGCATCCATGAGGGCGGCCAGGACGTGCCCAGCAACAAGGACGTGACATCGCTCGACTGGAACGTGCGTGTGTCGCTCGCGACCTCTCTCCTGCTGCCGGATGGTGGCGCCCCCTGCCTGCGCCAGTCGCCAGGCAGTGCTGGCTGTAACCGCAGAGCGTGGGACGTCGTACCAAAATTGATTTTGATTAAAATGGAACACGTGGGCATCGCTGTATTGGAGTGTCATGTTCGTCACGTGACGGATTTATCAACTGCCTGTGTTAGGCGGAGGAGGGTGCACGACACACATTCTATGAACGCGATCTGAGCCAAATATCAGTTATGAGTCATTGTTAGGTGGTTGTGGATCGCTCTGCAGCATCACCGGTATGCCGAAGCAATGATAGTGTCGCGTTTGTTCACGTGACAACTTTTTTTAATTTGGCTGTGTCGGGTGGACACACGTTGGCATTTTACCCGCATGGCGATCTGACCCAAAACTCAATTTCGAATCAATCGGTCGACTGTTATTACAATCAAATAGTTGTGCGTATGACCGCGGAGTGGAACAAGCAACTCAACACATGGATCAGCAGCTGCCTGCCCATCAACACCGTTAAGCACCGGCACCCAAAGCTTGCAGCCATTGCTGACGAATGGCCCTGAACAAGCGAGACATTGGATTTTATACGTTGTGTTGCTGTTCCAAACATCAACAGGTCCTTGTCTGTGCAAGAGTCCGCGCGAAAGAATATGGAGATTGCAACCGATCTCGCGCTGATATTCTTTATATGTGTCTCAACTTTGAACTGGTTTTTGTAAAAAAAAAAAAATACATTCTAAAGCTCACGCGGTAAGCCACTGGTCTTTGTCAGTCGGACCCTCGTGTGTTTTTTCACAACGATTTTTTATCGCTCTATTTTTGCAGCGGGGAGGCAACTTGGTGTGTCCGGAGAAAACCCACAGATTTTGGCGTGGCGTGCGGTGGTGTCGCAGAGGCGTGCGCTAGGCACAGACGTGTGCAGTATGCGCGCGCCGGTTTAGGCCGAGACCTCTGCTGATCAATATGCGTCGCTGTGTTTGTAGAGCGAAGGAACGCTGCTGGCCACTGGCTCCTATGACGGGTTCGCCCGGATCTGGACGAAGGACGGTGAGTTTTAGGCGATTGCCCCAGTTTCGAGGCCTGCCCGGATCTTCCTTTTTGACCCAATAGCCAACCAAACCCCGTGACCCACTTCTACAACGCCAATTTTACCTGCAACTTGACCCGACCCGCTTTCATTAGACCCACATTCTAACCTGACCCGCTTTCATTAGACCCACATTCTCACCTGACCCGCTTTCATGTGACCCACATCCTGATCCGACCCGACCCACTTTCATCGGACGCGCAACAAAGCTTAGAATGTTTTTTTGTTCAACAACAGTATATGTCTTTGTTTGGACGCTGGGTTATTTTCGCACCGTCACGTACGGTAACATGTACAGAAACCCATAATCGTGTTGCTCCATCGTGAACATGACGCGACTCGCACGCAAACTAAAAGCCACAGAGTTGCGCCTTCCACACGACCCAAAAACAGGCTGGCGCTGTGGTCCAACCCGCCCATGCCCCCGGCTACCCGGCCCGATGCTGGAGCTGACGACCGTTGAGACCGTGTGTCGTAATACAGTGATTAGTAGATTTTCAATTGGCGCTATTCTATGAACGCGATTCGATTACCCAAGGCGCTATGCTTGGCAGCCTGGTATAGTCCGCTGGTCATGTTGCAATGTGGTTTTTTTTTTCTTCCAAATCGAGTAATTTCTTCATTCATGTCATGAGACATAGACGAACATGTCCAACCAGTGAAGATAAAACCTAAATATGGTAGGGGGGGGTGGGGGGGGAGTGACTTATGATTCACACTTTCCCACACCCTCCGATTGGCAGTCTGGAAGCAGCCGAGCTAAAGCAGGAACTTTGTATCCGTGTTCGATTCCCGCTCACGGCCAACACCAGTGACGAGTTTATTAACTGATGCCGTGCATCACTTAGGTCGACTCTTGCCTCAGATGAGTACATAGTGTGGTGTGTAAATATCAGCGTTGGGGAGACAAAGGTGGCTGGGAATGGTGCTGGGAACGCTAACCCCTTGTGTGCCATGCTGGCATTCATAGATGCTCGCTTGCAACACTTGCCCCAACAGTCTGTTGAAGACTAGACAGGGAGAGCTTTGTGTTTGTGTGTTTGGCGGTTGTTGTGCGGAGCGGGAATTAAGTTTCTTAGCGCACTGTGCTATGAACCCGGTGACCCGAGTTCAATTCGAGTTCATGACTAACAACAGTGGTGAATATTTGATCCATTCCTGGTCGTCTCCAAAGTCAGCTCAGCCTTAAATGAGTACCTGGTGCGATGTGTAAACATCAGCACTAGCGAGACAAAGGCAGCCAGGCTCGATTCAGGCCACGCCACCACCTCGAGTGACATTCTGGCCTTCGTAGATGCTCGCTAACAACGCTTGCTTCAACAGTCTGTTAAGGCTATACGGGGGACCTATGTGTGTCTTGTGCGTGTTTGTAGGTAACCTTTCGAGCACACTGGGGCAACACAAAGGCCCCATTTTCGCCCTCAAGTGGAACAAAGAGGGGAACTACATTCTGAGTGCTGGTGTGGACAAGGTGAGGACTCTTGTCTCCCCCACTATAGCTCTAACTCGGCAACACATATGCCTACAATAACACCACCTAAGCCCTGGTGAAATACAATTCGTGTCAACTTACAGCTATTATTCGCGACTACGTTATGAATGCACTTAGTGAATGGACTACATATGTACTCAAATTACCGCAGGCATTTACAGTTATATCACTTGAAACCAAAGTGAACGCATTATCTCATGTTGACATTACTCATGCCATGACAGTATTGCCAATGTTGCTTGAAAACGCATGTGAAATGATCACCGAGGTCTCCTCGCCATTGGAATGTGGAATTGTCAGCGCTGGCTCATCGCTCGCGTGGTCTCGTTTTCAGGACGGCCCTGCTTGCGTGCTTCCTGACCAATTCTGTTTTTTGAGCGTGGCAGGGTGGGGGGAGGCAATTCCACACACACCCACGCGAATTGCTCTCATAATGCCGTCAGAAATCTACGCTCCCCGCCCAGTCTGCAAGATGCCTGCAAACAAACGACTCATTGCGGGACATTTTCAGCGACAATGCGTAAATGTAAACACTCGTAAATGATTGGAGCGTGTATGTGTGTGTGTGTGTATACTGAACTTACTTTGCACCTTACGTAGCCAAACGTGCTAATTGGATGTGTGGGAACTTGATTGGAGGTGCGGGAAGCTAAGTGGAGGTGTGGTGTGAAGCTAAGCGGAAGTGTGGTGTGAAGCTAAGCGGAGGTGTGGTGTGAAGCTAAGTGGAGGTGTGGTGTGAAGCTAAGTGGAGGTGTGGTGTGAAGTTAAGTGGAGGTGTGGTGTGAAGCTAAGTGGAGGTGTGGTGTGAAGCTAAGCGGAAGTGTGGTGTGAAGCTAAGCGGAGGTGTGGTGTGAAGCTAAGCGGAGGTGTGGTGTGAAGCTAAGTGGAGGTGTGGTGTGAAACTAAGTGGTGGAGCTGGAAGCTAAGTGGAGGTGTGGTGTGAAGCTAACTGGAGGTGTGGTGTGAAGCTAAGTGGAGGTGTGAAGCTAACTGGAGGTGTGGTGTGAAGCTAAGTGGAGGTGTGGTGTGAAGCTAAGTGGAGGTGTGGTGTGAAGCTAAGTGGAGGTGCAGGAAGCTAAGTGGAGGTGTGGTGTGAAGCTAAGCGGAAGTGTGGTGTGAAGCTAGGCGGAGGTGTGGTGTGAAGCTAAGTGGAGGTGTGGTGTGAAGCTAAGTGGAGGTGTGGTGTGAAACTAAGTGGTGGAGCTGGAAGCTAAGTGGAGGTGTGGTGTGAAGCTAAGTGGAGGTGTGGTGTGAAGCTAAGTGGAGGTGTGGTGTGAAGCTAAGTGGAGGTGTGGTGTGAAGCTAAGTGGAGGTGCAGGAAGCTAAGTGGAGGTGTGGTGTGAAGCTAAGTGGAGGTGTGGTGTGAAGCTAAGTGGAGGTGTGGTGTGAAGCTAAGTGGAGGTGTGGTGTGACGCTAAGGGGAGGTGTGGTGTGACGCTAAGTGGAGGTGTGGTGTGAAGCTAAGTGGAGGTGTGGTGTGAAGCTAAGTGGAGGTGTGGTGTGACGCTAAGTGGAGGTGTGGTGTGACGCTAAGTGGAGGTGTGGTGTGAAGCTAAGTGGAGGTGTGGTGTGAAGCTAAGTGGAGGTGTGGTGTGAAGCTAAGTGGAGGTGTGGTGTGTGACGCTAAGTGGAGGTGTGGTGTGACGCTAAGTGGAGGTGTGGTGTGAAGCTAAGTGGAGGTGTGGTGTGAAGCTAAGTGGAGGTGTGGTGTGAAGCTAAGCGGAGGTGTGGTGTGAAGCTAAGCGGAGGTGTGGTGTGAAGCTAAGCGGAGGTGTGGTGTGAAGCTAAGCGGAGGTGCAGGAAGCTAAGTGGAGGTGTGGTGTGAAGCTAAGTGGAGGTGTGGTGTGAAGCTAAGCGGAGGTGTGGTGTGAAGCTAAGTGGAGGTGCAGGAAGCTAAGCGGAGGTGTGGTGTGAAACTAAGTGGAGGTGTGGTGTGAAGCTAAGTGGAGGTGTGGTGTGAAGCTAAGCGGAGGTGTGGTGTGAAGCTAAGCGGAGGTGTGGTGTGAAACTAAGTGGAGGTGTGGGTGAAGCTAAGTGGAGGTGTGGTGTGAAGCTAAGCGGAGGTGTGGTGTGACGCTAAGTGGAGGTGTGGTGTGAAGCTAAGCAGAGGTGTGGTGTGAAGCTAAGTGGAGGTGCAGGAAGCTAAGCGGAGGTGTGGTGTGAAGCTAAGTGGAGGTGCAGGAAGCTAAGCGGAGGTGTGGTGTGAAACTAAGTGGAGGTGTGGTGTGAAGCTAAGTGGAGGTGTGGTGTGAAGCTAAGTGGAGGTGTGGTGTGAAACTAAGTGGTGGAGCTGGAAGCTAAGTGGAGGTGTGGTGTGAAGCTAAGTGGAGGTGTGGTGTGAAGCTAAGTGGAGGTGTGGTGTGAAGCTAAGTGGAGGTGTGGTGTGAAGCTAAGTGGAGGTGCAGGAAGCTAAGTGGAGGTGTGGTGTGAAGCTAAGTGGAGGTGTGGTGTGAAGCTAAGTGGAGGTGTGGTGTGAAGCTAAGTGGAGGTGTGGTGTGACGCTAAGTGGAGGTGTGGTGTGACGCTAAGTGGAGGTGTGGTGTGAAGCTAAGTGGAGGTGTGGTGTGAAGCTAAGTGGAGGTGTGGTGTGACGCTAAGTGGAGGTGTGGTGTGACGCTAAGTGGAGGTGTGGTGTGAAGCTAAGTGGAGGTGTGGTGTGAAGCTAAGTGGAGGTGTGGTGTGAAGCTAAGTGGAGGTGTGGTGTGACGCTAAGTGGAGGTGTGGTGTGACGCTAAGTGGAGGTGTGGTGTGAAGCTAAGTGGAGGTGTGGTGTGAAGCTAAGTGGAGGTGTGGTGTGAAGCTAAGCGGAGGTGTGGTGTGAAGCTAAGCGGAGGTGTGGTGTGAAGCTAAGCGGAGGTGTGGTGTGAAGCTAAGCGGAGGTGCAGGAAGCTAAGTGGAGGTGTGGTGTGAAGCTAAGTGGAGGTGTGGTGTGAAGCTAAGCGGAGGTGTGGTGTGAAGCTAAGTGGAGGTGCAGGAAGCTAAGCGGAGGGTGTGGTGTGAAACTAAGTGGAGGTGTGGTGTGAAGCTAAGTGGAGGTGTGGTGTGAAGCTAAGCGGAGGTGTGGTGTGAAGCTAAGCGGAGGTGTGGTGTGAAACTAAGTGGAGGTGTGGGTGAAGCTAAGTGGAGGTGTGGTGTGACGCTAAGTGGAGGTGTGGTGTGAAGCTAAGTGGAGGTGTGGTGTGAAGCTAAGCAGAGGTGTGGTGTGAAGCTAAGTGGAGGTGCAGGAAGCTAAGCGGAGGTGTGGTGTGAAGCTAAGTGGAGGTGCAGGAAGCTAAGCGGAGGTGTGGTGTGAAACTAAGTGGAGGTGTGGTGTGAAGCTAAGTGGAGGTGTGGTGTGAAGCTAAGCGGAGGTGTGGTGTGAAGCTAAGTGGAGGTGTGGTGTGAAACTAAGTGGAGGTGTGGGTGAAGCTAAGTGGAGGTGTGGTGTGAAGCTAAGCGGAGGTGTGGTGTGACGCTAAGTGGAGGTGTGGTGTGAAGCTAAGCAGAGGTGTGGTGTGAAGCTAAGTGGAGGTGCAGGAAGCTAAGCGGAGGTGTGGTGTGAAGCTAAGCGGAGGTGTGGTGTGACGCTAAGTGGAGGTGTGGTGTGAAGCTAAGCGGAGGTGTGGTGTGAAGCTAAGTGGAGGTGTGGTGTGAAGCTAAGTGGAGGTGTGGTGTGAAGCTAAGTGGAGGTGTGGTGTGAAACTAAGTGGTGGAGCTGGAAGCTAAGTGGAGGTGTGGTGTGAAGCTAACTGGAGGTGTGGTGTGAAGCTAAGTGGAGGTGTGGTGTGAAGCTAACTGGAGGTGTGGTGTGAAGCTAAGTGGAGGTGTGGTGTGAAGCTAAGTGGAGGTGCAGGAAGCTAAGTGGAGGTTTGGTGTGAAGCTAAGCGGAAGTGTGGTGTGAAGCTAGGCGGAGGTGTGAAGCTAAGTGGAGGTGTGGTGTGAAGCTAAGTGGAGGTGTGGTGTGAAGCTAAGTGGAGGTGTGGTGTGAAACTAAGTGGTGGAGCTGGAAGCTAAGTGGAGGTGTGGTGTGAAGCTAACTGGAGGTGTGGTGTGAAGCTAAGTGGAGGTGTGGTGTGAAGCTAAGTGGAGATGTGGTGTGACGCTAAGTGGAGGTGTGGTGTGACGCTAAGTGGAGGTGTGGTGTGAAGCTAAGTGGAGGTGTGGTGTGAAGCTAAGTGGAGGTGTGGTGTGACGCTAAGTGGAGGTGTGGTGTGACGCTAAGTGGAGGTGTGGTGTGAAGCTAAGTGGAGGTGTGGTGTGAAGCTAAGTGGAGGTGTGGTGTGAAGCTAAGTGGAGGTGTGGTGTGACGCTAAGTGGAGGTGTGGTGTGACGCTAAGTGGAGGTGTGGTGTGAAGCTAAGTGGAGGTGTGGTGTGAAGCTAAGTGGAGGTGTGGTGTGAAGCTAAGCGGAGGTGTGGTGTGAAGCTAAGTGGAGGTGTGGTGTGAAGCTAAGTGGAGGTGCAGGAAGCTAAGCGGAGGTGTGGTGTGAAACTAAGTGGAGGTGTGGTGTGAAGCTTAGCGGAGGTGTGGTGTGAAGCTAAGCGGAGGTGTGGTGTGAAGCTAAGTGGAGGTGTGGTGTGAAACTAAGTGGAGGTGTGGGTGAAGCTAAGTGGAGGTGTGGTGTGAAGCTAAGCGGAGGTGTGGTGTGACGCTAAGTGGAGGTGTGGTGTGAAGCTAAGCAGAGGTGTGGTGTGAAGCTAAGTGGAGGTGCAGGAAGCTAAGCGGAGGTGTGGTGTGAAGCTAAGCGGAGGTGTGGTGTGACGCTAAGTGGAGGTGTGGTGTGAAGCTAAGCGGAGGTGTGGTGTGAAGCTAAGTGGAGGTGTGGTGTGAAGCTAAGTGGAGGTGCAGGAAGCTAAGTGGAGGTGTGGTGTGAAGCTAAGTGGAGGTGTGGTGTGAAGCTAAGTGGAGGTGTGGTGTGACGCTAAGTGCAGGTGTGGTGTGAAGCTAAGTGCAGGTGTGGTGTGAAGCTAAGTGCAGGTGTGGTGTGAAGCTAAGTGGAGGTCCTGGAAGCTAAGTGGAGGTGCAGGAAGCTAGGCGGAGGTTGCGGGAGTGTCCATCCACGAGAGGCGGCGTGAACGCGAGCGGTGTGAGACGTGGTGGCGTGTGCCGTGTGTCTCTCTCGCCCCTCGCTCTCAGACGACCATCATCTGGGACGCACAGACAGGAGAAGCCAAGCAGCAGTTTCCGTTCCACTCGGGTAAATCCTCGCGTGCCGTGACCACGCCGCCAACGGCATCACCGTGCCGGTGCCGGAGACTTAATCACTCTGACCTGTTCTCCTAACTGTCACCCCAACTACACCACCGCTTTTAATAACCCTCTTCTTTATTTTAACCACTATCATCTTATGTACAATTTATTAAGGTGCTATGTTCAATGTATGTAAGATAAGAAACGATAAATTGTGTTTATTTACTGATCTGTTATTAATTCACTTGGTGACCTCGCTGCACGTGAGCTGCTTCAAACACCGCTGGCATTCACAGTTGGTATCACTTGAGGCCAAAGTGAACGGCACCACCTGATGTTTGCATGAATCGTGCCACAAAGGGAGTACCAATATCTTCTTTGGTTCTTTCGGTAAAGTCACGTAGAATGAGAATAAAATAATAAATTGATAAAATAAAATAACACAATAATATTCTCACGACGTTTCGGCCACAACACAAGCGGCCTTCATCAGGTGAAGGGACGAGACTGTCTGGTAGGACAGCGCTGGAGTGACTTTACCAAAAAAACCAAGGAAGATGAATCATTGCAGTCACGAATTCTTTAAATCGAGTACCAATATGTTGAAAAAACAATCGGCTTTACCCTTTCCGGTAATAATGCAGGGATTCATATTCTTGGTTCTTTCGGTAAAGTCACGTAGAAGGGAAATAATAAAATAATAAAATTCTCACGACGTTTCGGCCACAACGCAAGCAGCCGTCCTCAGGTGAAGAACAGGGCTGTCGGAAAGACAGCGTCCTACTGAACACTGTCAAGCTTGGCAGCGAGGAGCATGGAGCGCCTTGACAAGGGAGTTTACATATCAACAGAGGACTTTAGCATATTGACGCTTAAGAACTGCAATTACCCTACTACCATACAATAGACCGATGTGAAAAAAAAAAATATAAACTACATCAATATAATCAATGTACTCAATATACTTTTCAATAACCTGGGCTGTTCACATTAAGTAACTGGGTATAAACTACACTATATAATGACTACCATATAGTGAACCGATAAAAAAACTGCAGTCACGAAAGCTTTAAATCGAAATTTAATACAGGGGGTGTTAAGATGTTCACACACCACATAGACACCTATTGCAAGGCATCATCAAGTCTGCATGAACTCCACATACTTGTAGTAAAAACATGTAAACAATGATGTTATGTATATTCTTGGTTCTTTCGGTAAAGTCACGTAGAAGGGAAACAATAAAATAATTAAAATATAAAGCAATAAATAATATATTTTTATTATTTTATTGTTTCCCTTCTACGTGACTTTACCGAAAGAACCAAGAATATGAATCCCTGCAGTCACGAAAGCTTTAAATCAAAATTATGTTATGCATTGTCTTGGAACCTGATTGGCCAACACCAGAGATTGCCTCCTTTTATGGCCTTGTATCACCGGTGTTAGACGAGAGGACGCCAATAGGCGAACAGTACGAAGGCAATCTTAACACCTCCTGTATTATTGCCGGAAAGGGTAAAGCCCATTCTGTTTTAATCATCTTGATATCGGTAGTATCAATGTTCCTACGTGTGTAAAATGATGAGTGAGATTCCCTCGCCATGGGAATATGGAATTTCCACCGCTGGCTCGGGGGGGGGGGGTGGGGGGGCCTTAACAAGCCTTGATTTTCAGTAAAATCCTGCTTGGGTCGTCGGACCGATTCTTTTTGACCGAAGCTTACAGTCGCCACTGGCAGCGAGCTAACGGCTCGTGAGCCGCCCAGCTTGGCGACACCTGGCCTGCGCTTGCAGGGCAGCGAGCCCGCAGCTCGGCCAAATGCCTCAACTTCTTGGACCCTCGTAGCACCAAACTGTTGCTCCTGCGTTTCCACGACCACCGGGAAGTATGCTGGCTCAGCGCTCCGCTCGGTTTCGCCGCTCGGGCCCGGGGTTCCAAACGGCAGCCCTGCCGTGCCGTCCCGGTCACCTGGCGGGCTCGGCACACCTGCGCGGTGCCTCGCGTTGGTAGGGAGGGCGACGTTTTTTCACCGGAGCCAACCTCAGAATCGATTGGGGGGGGGGTCTCTGCTGCGTTTCGGCTAATGTCAGGGTCGCACGTTTGAAACAACAAAAAAACACCTTAGACAATTCCGAAACTTAACATGTTTCAGCTTACATGTTGTGAATGACTTAAAAAAAAATTGTCTTCTCTCCTTTCACGACACGACCGTCCAGAGGAGCGAGGGGAAGGGGGCGGTGGGGAGCAGATCCCCCACGGCCATTTGGCTCGCGAAGCGTCGGTGGGGGGGGGGGGGGGGGGGGGGGGGGGGCGAAGTGAAACCTGTACCGTGGTGTGGCTGTTGTAACATCCGAACCGCCGGCCTCCGGCCCCCTTTGTCGTCTCCCTCGTTCCTCGCGTTGCAGCGCCCGCGCTGGACGTCGATTGGCAGACGGACGACAGCTTCGCCTCGTGCAGCACGGACATGAGCATCCACGTGTGCCGGCTGGGAGAGGAGGAGCCGATCCGGACCTTCCGGGGGCACACGGTGCGGCGCGTGCTTTGCCGCGAGTGCCGAGCGGTAGCGCGTTTTGCCGTTCGACGCGGGGGTTTGCGGTTCGAGTCCCCGCGCCCGCCCCGGTCAGTACTGTGGGGGCGTAGTGTCCGTAATGACAAGATGACGTCGCGCAAGCCGGCTGCCGTCCCATCACCTAAACTTTGACTCGGCTGGTTTTTTTTCCATCGTAGCAGTGGGAGGTGGCTTGGGTGGGAGTGGGTAGGGAGCGGTGGCGTAGTGGTTAGTGCTCTAAGCTACGAACCCGGCTACCCAAATTCCATTCCCGCTCATGGCCACCACCAATGAAGATTATTTGAACCGGTCCTAGGCTTCCCATAGGTCGACTCAAATGAGTACCTGGTGCGGTTTGTCAACATCGCCACTGGGTAGACAAAGACAGTCGGGTGTGGTGCTGGCCAACCATCCCTTCATGTGCCGTGTCGGCCTTCATAGGTGCTCGCTAACGAGCAACAGTCTGTTAAAGGCTATGCGGGGGGTCTTTGTCTTTGGAATGGGGGGGGGTGGTGAATCACTTCTGAGAGACAGAGGCCCCACCTCTGTGTCCTGGCTTTCGAGTGACACTTGGTTTGGCCTCCGCGCCTCAGAGTCACGGTCATTTACATCTGTGATATATCGCATGCACGTGATATCACAATGACATCACAATGACAATGACATCACAATGACATCACAATGCCTACGCAGCCGTCAGCTTTGCGGTGGACGTTCCAGATCCCGCAACGTCACATTTGAACAAGAGCAGCCCACATTTCCTGGAGTCACGGTCCGAATTTGTCAAATTTCATAGGAACAATCTCCTTACAAAATACTTAAGTGAGAGATAATTCCCCCCCCCCCCCCCATTGGTAGGCAACAGCCGTTTATAATATAAATAAGCAGACAATACTCCTTAACGTATCCATCTCCACGTAAAATAATGAATAAATATTTGGTACGTAACCCGCCAGCTACAGCTTTCTGGTAGAGCAGGGGTCGGGAACCTTTTTGACTAAGAGAGCCATGAAAGCAAAAAATTTGGAAATGTATTTCAGTGAGAGCCATATAATATATTTTAAAAGTGAATTCAACTAAATGTCAGTATAATAAGCCTCTGAATTTATTCTTTTAAATAATGTTGTTATAACACTCACCATTAATGCGACTTCTGGTGCTGCATGGATTTGCTGATGTCTTTGTAGTCGGGTTGGTACTTGGTGAGGTTAAGCTTCATGCAAGCGTTGAGGCTTTCATCCGTTAAACGTGATCGTAGGTTGGACTTGATGTTTTTAAGATGTGAGAATGACTGCTCACATGCATACGTAGATCCAAACATGGTCAATACAGCAATACTCACACGCTGCAGTGTGTGGTATGTGACAGGAAGCGCGTTCCAAGATTTGAGAATCAGCTGGTCTTCGGGTTGGAGTTTTTTCATTTCTGTCCACATGTGCTTGCTCGCCAACTCCGCTTTCTGTCGTGTGATTCTTTCCAAATCTTCATTCAGTGACTTGAACTTATTCACCCACATGTCTGAGGCCTTCAGGTCAGCCACTTCTGCTTCAAAATCTCTGACGGAGACACCAGGGATGTAATTCAGGTCGGCTGTGTTCAGTGAACACTCGTTTGGATGGGTGATGAACTTAAAAAGACGAGTGTGCTCACGAAATTCTCCAAAGCGTGCTTTGAAGGACTGTAGGAGACTGGATGTGCAGCCAGCTAGCTGGTGGAGATCAAGGTTTTGAATGGGCTCACTTGCTGTGCATGCATCTTTAAATTGGCTCAGTTTTTCAAAATGTAGTAAACGACCTGTTTCAAGATCTGTGATGAAAAGCTCCAGCTTGTTTTCAAAAGCAAATACAGCTTGTTGAAGGGATAACACTGTATTTCCAATGCCTTGCATTTTCACGTTGAGCTGGTTCAGATGTTCAGTCAGATCTACGAGATAGTAAAACTTGAGGAGCCACTCGGTGTCGGCTAGCTCAGGATGCCCGACGCCTTTCATTTCAAGGAAAGTCTGGATTTCGTTCAGGCAAGCCGCAAAACGGCTAAGCACCTTCCCTCTTGACAACCAACGCACATTGCTGTGCAAAAGCAGACCAGGATAGTTATTTACAACTTCATCCAGCAGTGTTTTAAACTGGCGATCATTTAAGGCTCGGGCAACAATAAAGTTGATCACACGAATGACCAGCGACATCACTTCGCCAAACTGCCTGTCACACATCTGAGCACAAAGTGCCTCCTGGTGTATAATGCAATGGAAACTTAGGATGGGTCTATTTTCATGTTCACGGAGAAGCGCCACAAATCCTTTGTTTTTCCCCACCATACACGGAGCACCATCAGTACACACTGAGAGAAGTTTATCCATAGGTAGACTTTTTTCTTGAGCAAACTCCATGAAAGACTTGAATAAATCCTCACCTCTTGTGGACCCTTTTAATGGCAGAACAGCAAGACTTTCTTCGCGCAGTGTGTCACCAACAGCATATCTTGCAATCACGCTGAACTGCGACAAATGGCTCACGTCTGTTGACTCATCCAAAGCCAGAGAAAAGAACGGCGCTGCATTTATGTCCTTTACTTGCGTTTCCTCCACTTTGTTTGCCATCACGATGGTACGATCATGAACAGTTCTTGCCGACAGAGGCATGTCTTGTATCCGTTTGATTATCTTGTCTTTGTTCGGAAGATCATCAAAAAGTTCATTGGCTACATCCAGCATGAACGTTTTAGCATACTCCCCATCTGTGAATGGTTTTCCGTTCCTCACTATTGCTAAAGAACCAGCAAAGCTAGCCGAATTATAGTCACCTTGCCGGGTCCATACGCGGAGTTGCTGCTGGCTAGCTTGCACCCTGCTCAGAAGCTCTTGGCACGCTTTCTTTCTGCTGTCTCCCGCAGGGTATTTTGATGCAAAGGTAGCGTGGCGCGTGTCGAAGTGCCGCTTTACATTCGACCGTTTCAACGATGTAATTTTGTCATTGCAAATTAGACACACCGCAGAACCCGCTCTCTCCACAAAGGCGAATTCTTCGGTCCATTCGTCCTGAAATGTACGATACTCGTCGTCTTTTTTTCTTTTCGCCATCTTCGTCGAAGGGTTGGCTTTGAGCTAATGACCGAGCAGACGCAGTCTCAGACTGATTCAAAAGGGGGCGTTTACCTGTTTTACCCAGCAACGGCAAACGTAGGCCAGTATCATCCAATTAAAATAATGGACAATTGCTCCTGCAGCCCTGAACAGGACATGCGCAGTGAAAAATCGATGGATGGATTAAAACAAGTGAGAATATTTTGTTTTATCTGCGAGCCATATGCAATCATCAAAAGAGCCACATCTGGCTCGCGAGCCATAGGTTCCCGACCCCTGTGGTAGAGCCTTAAGACGCACTTGTTTTTAAGTGGTGTTTTCTATTTCTTTAATATATCGTTTTTTTCGGTTGTATGTTATGGGTGTGAGCCTGCATGCGTCTGTGTTTGTGTTTGTACAGCGCCTTGTGATCTCCGGGTGTAAGGCACTTTAGAATTGCAAATTATTATATCAGCAGAGTTTCTTCAGTACAAGCGAACTCTGGACCGGTTTTGACACACAGTTTTTCATGTGTTCATGGATACATATTTAATGCTGCGACGATGGTGGTTATATAAATTATGTTGTTAATCCATGCTGAATTTCTGGATACTTTTTTTTATGGTAATACGCGAAAGCACAAGCATGTTGCTGGTTTATCACCGTTCGCACGTGTGTCTGCGTGTGGAACAGAACGAAGTTAACGCAATCAAGTGGGACCCCTCGGGGACGCTGCTCGCCTCCTGCTCTGACGACATGACTCTCAAGGTGCGCGCACGAACAAACTACACTCTTTTTTTTTTTTAGTAGGTGGCATCATAAAACCCATGAGGTCGGCGACTCCAGGTGCTCGTGACGGCTCTTGTCGGAGCGACGAACCAGCACCGGCGAGGTTCGGAGTTCAAAAACCCAGGGAATTCTCATTTCCGCAGCCGCTAAAAACCTTGGCCCGGGCCGGAGTCATGCCCAATGTCACTGTGGCCCCTTGGTTTGCACAGCAGGTCTGTGGAGCCGTAGCCAGTAAAGCTTTCTGTGCCTTGGCCTCGGAGCTCCCTTTCTGAACTCTACGACCCTTGTGTGGAGGCCGGCCCAACTCTGGATATGGTTTTAACGTCATGGGGTTAGCGGAGTCTGGTCCCAGACTCGACTGGCCAATCTTGGCTCTGATACGAGTCTGGGACCAGCTTGAATCTGGGACCAGCTTGAATCTGAGACCAGCTTGAATCTGGGACCAGCTTGAATCTGAGACCAGCTTGAATCTGGGACCAGCTTGAATCTGGGACCAGCTTGAATCTGGGACCAGCTTGAATCTGGGAGCAGCTTGAATCTGGGACCAGCTTGAATCTGGGAGCAGCTTGAATCTGGGACCAGCTTGAATCTGGGACCAGCTTGAGTCTGGGGGCAGCTTGAATCTGGGACCAGCTTGAATCTGGGAGCAGCTTGAGTCTGGGAGCAGTTTGAGTCTGGGAGCAGCTTGAATCTGGGAGCAGCTTGAATCTGGGACCAGCTTGAATCTGAGAGCAGCTTGAATCTGGGAGCAGCTTGAGTCTGGGACCAGCTTGAGTCTGGGACCAGCTTGATTCTGGGACCAGCTTGAATCTGGGAGCAGCTTGAGTCTGGGACCAGCTTGAGTCTGGGACCAGCTTGAATCTGGCACCAGCTTGAATCTGGGACCAGCTTGAATCTGAGAGCAGCTTGAATCTGAGAGCAGCTTGAATCTGGGACCAGCTTGATTCTGGGACCAGCTTGAGTCTGGGACCAGCTTGAATCTGGGAGCAGCTTGAGTCTGGGACCAGCTTGAGTCTGGTTGTGGATACATGGGAACAGTCGGACCTGATTAATCAAGGTTGTCTACTTAAGATGAACAGTCTAAAATTAATCTTATCGAGCTGACTTAACCCAACAAAAAATGTATTATTTTACACGGATTTATGTTTGTGCACTTTTAATTTTTTTTCGTGACACATATTTTTGCTCCGATTTCTCTATGCTTTATCGCTCCACTTTATTTTGCATTTGTCATATTGGTGACCCAGGCCACTCCAGCAAATGGAGGCTCTGTTCTGGTCCTTTTAGTTCTTGCCTGGTTAAACAACACTAACTTAGCCTGACCAAGGTGTTGCCGATCACCGATGTCTGCACAAGAAACCTCTTGGGTTTTTAATGCAGCCCAGTGAACTTCTTGAGAGGTAAATATGAATATAGACTCGTGTGCCCGCTGATCGACATTTGGTGAACCCATGCATAAACTAAATTATTTCTATTTTATCAGGTAAGGCCCACTGAGCTATGTAGCTGCTTTTCAGAAGTGACCTGGCCACAAGTGATAGCTCAACGAAGTGGCGTATCACGTGTAAATGTATAGCAGCCCAAAGACTCTGAACGGATGATTCCAAATGTGGGGGGAAAAACCGGAGGACCCGGAGAAAAATCCACGCGACCACGGAGAGAACATGCAGACTCCAAATAGGGTCGGGATCAAAGCCATGCTGTCCTGCATGCATAGCAGGCGAGGTAGTCAACGTCTCACCACCGCATCTAACGGAGCATCATCCCTGGGACTCACAACGTTGAGCACCTCACGGCCGTCTAATGGATTCTCGCGGTGTAGTTCACCTGTTGCAAATCACACACTCGGCCCTGTTTACCGCAGCGTCTCGCCAGCAGCTGCTGCCCGTGGTTCAGGTCTCGTGTAAGTGGTCAGCTCCACGAGTTCTGTCTGTACTCACTGCCTCTCTTATCATAAGCAAGCAGCAAACTAATCACAACTATCGAATGTTATTATTTCATTTGCTATGGGTGGTTGGGGGGGGTGTTTAATAAGTGGTGTGCATTAACCTATTGCTGCTACGCAAACCAATTCAGTAAACTCCCCCACATTTTCGACAAAAGTTAACTCGCCTTTGCTTGCTGCTCAATGTTTCTGTGCCTCGGCTTCTCGGGGTTTCCCTGTCAGTTTCTTGGGTTTCCATCTCAACAGTTCCTTGGTGTTTTCCCAAATTTGTATCCATTCGGGCTCCGACTGACTTTGGAACCCTTCGGGGGTTGACGTGTACGCGAGCCACTCTGACCGCTCTTCACATTGCGAAGAAGCGTCGTCCAACATGGGACAAGAGGTGGCAGCTGTCCATCTGACCGCGGGGCACTTTGATCGTTCTCAGATCTGGAGCATGAAGCAGGACACCTGCGTGCACGACCTGCAGGCCCACAGCAAGGAGATCTACACCATCCGCTGGAGCCCAAGCGGGTCCCACTCTGGCCACCCCAACAGCGGCCAGATGCTCGCCAGGTCTGCGTCCTCTAGAATCGGAATTGGGAATGATCTATTTAAACTGGAGGAACCCAATGAGCTAAAAAGCTCTTCTTCACAGACGCCCGGTATAGACCAGCGGGTCCAAGCCTGTGGTCGGCAGGCGACCGTTGGCCCAATGGGCTGTCGAGAAGTGGGATCAAAGTCGGCATTCATAATTGTGATTCATAATTGATTGGGTTTTTGGGTTTGGTTCGTCATGTACGATACACTTCTTTATGCAACTTAACTCAAAATACTGATTATGAACAACGATAAGTGAAGTTTTAAGCGTGAAGCTTTCGCCCGGTAAATTTGGTGCTTAAAAAAATCACGTCTTCAGCGGGAATTTATTTCACCGTGGAATCTTCACTGGAAGGTAATCCCCCTCATTTCACGCGGTGGTCGATGCGTTCCTGAAAAGTGCCACGATAAGTGAAAACGCGTTCACTGACGAAAGACCAAGTTTCCGAATCCCATTCGCCATTCGTGCACTGTGAGCTCGGCCTGCAGCCAGGCAGTGAGATTGGGGGTACCGGATCATTCCGCGGGGATCATCGAGGAGTGGTCCGCGGAAATTGTTGTGGCCCACGTGGTGTGATGCCTTCGTTCTAGTTGGGAGGGTTAACTGTGGTCTGCGGCTCTACTATGGTTGTGAGCCACCGCTCCAGACTGACCCCTACATCCAAGCCCAGGAGCTGCCGCAGCGCCGGAAGCCTCCTGCGCCGTAGCGGTGCCGCTAGTCCCCAAGCTGCGCAGCCGCAGAGTTGAGCCGCGTCCTGACCCTAGCGACGCCGTTTAAAAGTCAAATGATGAGCGTGGGGCCAACGATGATCGTTTATTGGCAGCCCCAAGGTAGTGGTGGGGCTCGCGTGTTGTTAACCCTATGACGGAGCCAGTCTTTGCATGTACGTTGAGCTTCTAATGCACCGTACGTAGCCAACCGTGCAAATCGGAGGTGTGGGGAAGGACAACAAACTCACCACAGAAGCAGTCGTAAAGAAATACGTTTTTTAGTCTAGGTGATTTAAAAGTGTATAGCTCCAGTGGTCTCCTAATCTCGGAAGGAAGCGCGTTCCAGATGGCCGCAAGGAGCGCAACGAAAAGCTCTCGATGCAGTGACCGCCTTTGTTCGATGGCTAGCCAGAAGCCGCTGCGAGGGTGACCGGAGTTCACGTGATCGTTTATGCTTCTTGACAAGCAAAGGGCGTTGCGTTTCATTTGTAGCAAACACTTTGTGTGTCATGAGTGCGATCTTATAATGTGTCCGTTCGGCAACCTGGAAGTCAGTGCAGCTCGATGAGCACTGGACAACCGCTGTTGACCCTCTGCGAATCGGCGCAATAACGGGCCGAGTTGACTCGAATATCCCCCCCACCCCCCCCCCTATATATTCTGGATCACGATAACTCGTGACATTCGTCAATAACACTGACCTTGAAACTTTTTGTGCAATTTACTTTTGCCGATGCGCTGTGAAAAAGGGTTATTGCCCGAAACGTCACCTACTTCTTAAGGCCAGAGTGTTGTTGACAAACGTGTTGTATTTGTCATTTGTGCTTGTGCTCCACCGCCAATGCAACAGCATCGCCAGATTATCATGCTAGAGCAGCTTTGTTTGCGAAAGGGACGTGCCATCGACGTGGGTGCAACGCTGGCCTCGTCACTCCATCGTGCTATTTTCCCAGCGTTGATAACGTGTTCCCCGACAGCGCTTGCAAGTCTCTAGGGCTCAATGCGCGATCTCTTTGTTTTGTATTTGTGTGCACACGTGTTGTGCCGGGGAGCACTCGCGTTGTTGTTCGATTCCTGCTCACGACCAATAACAGTGGCGAATATTTGAACCGGTCCGGGCCCTCCTGTAGGTAGACTCAACCTTAAATATGCAGTTGGTGCGGTGAGTAAACATCAGGCAAGCCCGGGCATGGTGTCGTGTGGCTTTCACTCGGTGCTACTCGCTAACAGCACTTGCCCCAGCAGGCTGTTGAAGGCTACTTGACGGCGATGATCTTTTTCCTTGTGCCGTGGCGGCGGCGGCGGCGGTGTTTCCCGCAGCGCGTCGTTCGACGCGACGGTGCGCCTGTGGGACGTGGAGAGCGGCACGTGCACACACGTCCTCACGCGCCACACCGAGCCCGTGTACAGCGTCGCGTTCAGCCCCGACGGGAAGTACCTGGCCACCGGCTCCTTTGACAAGTGTGTACACATCTGGAACACGCAGGTGAGGCCCAGTGTGAGAGAGGCCATCCTATGGTGGGATAAAGAACTGAAATGAGGCCATGCCACCGCGTACTGTATCATTCCGTGTACTGTATCGTACCGCTCAGCCGTGCAGCTCAAGAACGTAGTTTGTTGTTGACCGTGAAGAACGTGTGCCTGTGGCGCGTGCGTTCAACGCGTGCGATAGTGATGTGTGTGCGTGCCATGGTTGTGAATGTGTGCGTGTGTAATGTGTGCCTGCCTGCGAGCGATATGTACCGGTGCGATTTTGTGTGTGTGTGTGTGTGCATGCAATGTGCTTCGTGTGCGGTGTGTGTGTGCGTACAGACGGGCTCGCTGGTGTACAGCTACCGGGGCAGCGGCGGCGTATTCGAGGTTTGCTGGAACTACACGGGAGAGCGGGTCGCGGCCAGTGCCTCTGACGGAACGGTGAGTGACGGTGATTACCCAGGGCTCCACTCACTCACAGATCCACTCACCCCCAGATCAACTCACTCACCCCCAGATCCACTCACACACTCACAGATCCACTCACCCCCAGATCCACTCACAGATCAACTCACTCACCCCAGATCCACTCACTCACCCCCAGATCCACTCACACACTCACAGATCAACTCACTCACCCCCAGATACACTCACACACTCACAGATCCACTCACCCCCAGATCCACTCACTCACCCTCAAATCAACTCACCCCCAGATCAACTCACTCACTCACAGATCCACTCACTCACCCCAGATCCACTCACTCACCCCCAGATCCACTCACTCACCCCCAGATCCACTCACTCACCCCCAGATCCACTCACTCACCCCCAGATCCACTCACACACTCACAGATCCACTCACTCACCCCCAGATCCACTCACAGATTAACTCACTCACTCACAGATCCGCTCACTCACCCCAGATCCACCCACTCACCCCCAGATCCACTCACTCACCCCCAGATCCACTCACACACTCACCAATCCACTCACTCACCCCCAGATCCACTCACAGATCAACTCACTCACAGATCCACTCACTCACCCCCATATCCACTCACACACTCACAGATCAACTCACTCATCCCCAGATACACTCACACACTCACAGATCCACTCACCCCCAGATCCACTCACTCACCCTCAGATCAACTCACCCCCAGATCAACTCACTCACTCACAGATCCACTCACTCACCCCAGATCCACTCACTCACCCCCAGATCCACTCACTCACCCCCAGATTCACTCACTCACCCCCAGATCCACTCACACACTCACAGATCCACTCACTCACCCCCAGATCCACTCACAGATTAACTCACTCACTCACAGATCCACTCACTCACCCCAGATCCACTCACTCACCCCCAGATCCACTCACTCACCCCCCAGATCCACTCACTCACCCCCAGATCCACTCACACACTCACAGATCCACTCACTCACCCCCAGATCCACTCACACACTCACAGATCCACTCACTCACCCCCAGACCCACTCACAGATCAACTCACTCACTCAGATCCAATCACTCACCCCAGATCCACTCATTCACCCCCAGATCCACTCACCCACTCACATATCAACTCACTCACTCACAGATCCACTCACTCACCCCCAGATACACTCACTCACCCCCAGATCCACTCACACACTCACAGATCCACTCACTCACCCCCAGATCCACTCACAGATCCACTCACTCACCCCAGATCCACTCGCTCACCCCCAGATCCACTCGCTCACCCCCAGATCCACTCACCCACTCACAGATCAACTCACACACTCACAGATCCACTCGCTCACCCCCAGATCCACTCACAGATCCACTCACTCACCCCAGATCCACTCACCGCCAGATACACTCACCCACTCACAGATAAATTCACTCACAGATCCACTCACTCACCCCAGATCCACCCACTCCCAGATCCACGCACCCACTCACAGATCCACGCACCCACTCACAGATCCACTCGCCCACTCACAGATCCACTCACAGATCCACTCACAGATCCACTCACAGATCCACTCACCCACCCCCAGATCCACTCACTCACAGATCCACTCACCCCCAGATCCACTCACCCACTCACAGATCCACTCACAGATCCACTCATTCACCCCCAGATCCTCTCACCCACTCACAGATCCACTCACTCACCCACAGATGCACTCACTCAGGGCTCCACTCACCCACAGATCCACTCATTCACCCACAAATGCACTCACTCAGGGCTCCACTCACTCACCCACAGATCCACTGAATCAGGGCTCCACTCTCTCACAGATCCACTCACCCAGAGATCCACTCGGATATCCACTGATTCACAAATTACTCACTCAGATCCAGTCATTCAGGGTTCACTCACAGATCCACTTACACACAGAACCTCTGACTCACAGGTCCACTCATCCACAGATTCACTCTCATGAGCGGATCTGTATGTGAGTGGATCTGTGTGTGACTGAGTGGATCTGTGTGTGACGGAGTGGATCTGTGTGTGACGGAGTGGATCTGTGTGTGACGGAGTGGATCTGTGTGTGACGGAGTGGATCTGTGTGTGACGGAGTGGATCTGTGTGTGACGGAGTGGATCTGAGTGTGACTGAGTGGATCTGTGTGTGACGGAGTGGATCTGTGTGTGACGAAGTGGATCTGTGTGTGACGGAGTGGATCTGTGTTTGACGGAGTGGATCTGTGTGTGACGGAGTGGATCTGTGTGTGACTGAGTAGATCTGTGTGTGACGGAGTGGATCTGTGTGTGAAGGAGTGGATCTGTGTGTGACGAAGTGGATCTGTGTGTGACGGAGTGGATCTGTGTGTGACGGAGTGGACCTGTTTTTGACGGAGTGGATCTGTGTGTGACGGAGTGGATCTGTGTGTGACGAAGTGGATCTGTGTTTGACGGAGTGGATCTGTGTTTGACGGAGTGGATCTGTGTGTGACGGAGTGGATCTGTGTGTGACTGAGTAGATCTGTGTGTGACGGAGTGGATCTGTGTTTGACGGAGTGGATCTGTGTGTGAAGGAGTGGATCTGTGTGTGACGAAGTGGATCTGTGTGTGACGGAGTGGATCTGTGTGTGACGGAGTGGACCTGTTTTTGACGGAGTGGATCTGTGAGTAAGGGAGTGGATCAATCTCAGTGAGTGGATAAGTGTGAGTGAGTGGATAAGTGTGAGTGAGAGGATCTGTATGTGAGTGCATATTTTGTCTTGACTTCAGCTACTAATGCATTAGTGGACAGCCAATTGTGCAAATTAAATATTTCGTTCATAATTTTTGGATGCCAATTCTCTATTGTGAACACATCTACCTTCACAACCACCATCACCACCGTTAATGTTACTCTTCCCGACCCCACCACATCACCACATTCACCGCCCAAGACCATTGTCAATGTCATCATAACTACATCCACCATCCGGAGTTTGAGGTGGATCACGAGGATGGGGTTAATTTAATTGAACTCACCAATAGGGGGCGAGACAGGGCTCTATGTATGTTGAACTTCTTTCTCACTGTATGGATCCAACCGGCCTAATCGGCGGTGCGGGGGGAAGGACAACAAACTAAACACAAAAAGCAGTTCTAAAGAAATAAGTTTTCAGTCGGGATTTACAAGGAGGCCCGGTAGCAGCACCCCTGGGAGGCTGACAATGTCTCTCTTTCACGTACCTGTCTCTCCACGTATTATTAATAATAATAATAATAATAGGGGAGCCACACTGAGCCATAGGACTCTGTTGAAGGGCGTCCTGCATTGTTGGGTTTTTAATGTAAGATGTTTCCAGCCAATGAATGATTATAGCGGGAGGAGTCTGAAGCACCCGGAGAAATCCCACATCTTGCGTGAGGGTGCAACGCTCTCTAACCCCGTTCATGAAGACAGATTTGCGAAGGAGATCAATTGTCTGCTTATATTTTTTCAGTATTCTTATTGTTCACATTTTCAGAAGCACCAAATTGGGTAAACCCTTTGAGTAGCAGCAGCAGCAGCAGCAGCAGCTTGGTCACAGTTCTCTGACGGCCACGCTTGCTGGGGTTTTCTGCGCGGTCGGCTTCTTCTCCGTACGGCCGATGTTGCTGTCGAACAACAGCTATCGTTTGACATTTGGGGGGATTGCGGAGTCGGGACTGGCTGAGTGGTGCACCGAGTCGTTAAATGTTCCTTGGTGCCCTTCTGGGTGGTGACCACAGCCCGGTTAACAATTCATTCGCCATCCTCTGCCCTACCCCCTCCACCTTCCGTTTCTTCTTGGCAGGTGTGCGTGCTGGACCTGCGGAAGTAGCCAAACGCGCCAAGCCCTACGACCCCGCGGCGCCCCTACACAGTTCCCAACCACACCAACCCTACTCTACCCCCTCGCCACACCCCCTCTCCACCCGTGGCCCATCAAGGTCCACGCCTTCTCGGCTTGCTCAGTCGCGCACCCCCCCACCCCCCCCCCCCCCCCCCCCCCCCCCCCCCCCCCCCCCCCCCCCCCCCCCCCCCATCGTACAACCTTTACCCCGACCCGCCGCTCAAACGCTCTCTCGCCGTAGCCTTTATCGGCAGCCCGTGGCTTCGTATTCTCCGATAAATGTTCCGCTCTCTACCTTCACGAGTTTTAAGGTCGTGGAGACCTCTCTCATAACGGGGTCGCGGTGGTAAAGGGTTACGCGGTCGTCACGAGCTTTCTTTTTGCCGTAATCTTTTAGTTGCACGCGTTGTATTTTTAAAGTGGCGAACACGCGCCGTGGTACTGGAAGCACGTAGTCTGTCCGCTGCTGCGAATGCTGTGCGATGAGAACCATCGCTCAGTGGGGCTCCACGATCAACTGTCCCGCTTGCAGCAGCAGCAGCAGCACCGACAGTAATGCTGCTCCGTGGTTTCACAGCACATCTGCCTCTCATCGACTACTCCTATCATCTGCACCGACAATATTATTCGCGCTTACCCGCAGATCGCACCTCCGATTAGCACGCACGTATGTACGGGTAAATGACCCCGAAGAGTGGTGGTTGATTCATCCTCGCTATCCACGCTTTTAAGGTGCCGATACACACGCGCACAACTCCCCCGTGGTGCGGTGGTGGTGGTGGTGGTCTCTTGGTGGTGGTGGTGGTGGTCTCTTGGTGGTGGTGGTGGTCTCTTGGTGGTGGTGGTGGTCTCTTGGTGGTGGTGGTGGTCTCTTGGTGGTGGTGGTGGTCTCTTGGTGGTGGTGGTTCTCCCATGGGGCCCCAGTGGTAGTTCCGCTGCTGGTCCCAGCGATCTCTCTGTGGTCCCAACCTCCCGACACCGACTCGCGTGGTGATGCCCAGCGGCCACGGTGGTGGCGGCGGCGTCCGTTGGCAGCGGCGGCGAAGTCGATGCCACGCGCACCCGGACGTTTGCCACAGGTGGTTCATCCCCTTATCCGCATTCGCCCACGCGCCCTCTGCACGCAGATAAGAGGGAGGAAATTCACGCCGTTATAGACCAGGGACATCACGCAGATAAGCCTGGGATGGCTTAATCAGTGCAATTGCAAAACACGAAATCGAACGACATTTGAAGGAACACGAGAACGAACGCATCAAGTTGCGCTGATATTGAGGCGACGTGGATCGTTTTTGTCGATCGCGACAATCCACACGTTCGACTCGCCGTCGTCGCCGTCGCCGCTTGACGTTCGCTCGGCACCGTGGCAAACGCCGAGCAGCGCCGATCGCCGTGCGAGCAGCCTGGAACGCCGACAAAAGCCCCTAGGGAAGTATTTTGAAGGCGGATTGTTTGGGGCAATTGTCGCCGTGTTCAGGCCCGTTGCCAATTCCAGCGCTGGGGCGAAAGGCCTCTTTTTCATCCCCGTTTGGCCATGCTTCACTGTGCTGGTTTCGGTGAAGGGGAGCCCAGAACCCTGTTGAGATTTGACGCTCGCCACTGATTTGCTTACTGTGGGCCGGGAGTCAAACTCGAGTCACGGTGCCAACGCACCACCCACACCACCCACACCACCCACCCAGTGCACCACCCACACCACCCACACCACCCGCACCACCCACACCACCCGCACCACCCACACCACCCACACCACCCACACCACCCACTCAATCCACCACCCACACCACCCACACCGCATCACCCACCCAATGCGCCACCCACCCAATGCGCCACCCACACCACCACACCACCCACCCAATGCACCACCCACACCACCCACACCACACCACCACATCACCCAATGCACCACCCACACCACCCACACCACCCACCGAATGCACCACCCACACCACACCACCACATCACCGAATGCACCACCCACACCACCACACCACCCACCCAGAGACGTTGGTTCTGTTGTTTCTTTGGTGTCATTTTCTGTCTTTCAACGTTGCTCTACCGAGCTTGGAAAGGGGGGGGGGGTTGTTTGTGTGTGTCTGATCTCATGTCTTCTTGACTCGTGTTTGGACTGCTGAGGTATCCGTTGGTTTAAAATGTGATAAAAAAAACAATGCCATTCTGACAACACTCTCTTTATCTTAGGTTAAAGTAATCTTAAGTCGATCCATGTAAACATCTAATGATAATTTTACATGTGTAGCTTTCAGAACTAAACTACGATTCATAATTCGTTTATTTTGGGTTAGATCGTTTCGGTACAATACCAATGTATTAATTGTAACCCCCCCACGTCCCGAGAGTCGATGATTCACACGCATGGCTATCCCGATGACGTCATGGCAGCCACTGAGCTTCTATCCACGCCTCATGATGCAGGGGAGGTGTAATCTCCAGCGAAACGTCGGACACAATTGTCCAAAATAATTGGTCGCTTTTCGACATTCGGCGCATCTGCCCAAGGTGTGAGAAGTCGATTTGATTGCCCCTGTCAGGTGAAGGGGCTGTCGCAACAGCAAGAATGTTTGACATCGGAGCTACGGCAGCTACACGACCATCTTGCCCAGGCGTCGGCAGCCTGCGGTGGTGTCTCTTTGGCTTCCCCCTTGAGGAGGGGGCAGCCGTTTTACACAAAAAAACACCTTAATCTTAAACGTAGTTTTCCGTGTACATAATTGATTAAATTTGGCAGGGAATGGGTCACTGGAATGTCTTGGTGACGACAAAATGTACAACAGTCAAACTGTATTCAATTTCGATTTCAAGCTTTCGTGACTGCAGGGATTCATCTTCTTGGTTCTTGCGGTAAAGTCACCACGTAGAAGGGAAATAATAACAGGTCCCTGCAGGGTGGGCTGGTAGGACAAGTCTCGGCGCTGTCTATTGCTGATTTTACACCCAACAGCACGAGATTTCACTTCGTTAAAGTATTGAAAGGGGACGGACGGACGGACACATTAATCTATTGCAGGCTGGTACACTCAGTTTACAACTTCGTTCCTACCAGTAAAATAATAATCCAGTTGGAGCGCTGTCCTTCCGACAGTTCTGTTTCTTCACCTGAGGACGGCTGCTTGTGTTGTGGCCGAAACGTCGTGAGAATTTTTTATTTTATCATTTCCCTTCTACGCGACTTTACCGCAAGAACCAAGAAGCTCAAACCGTATTGTTAAAGAATAAGGGGGGAACAAAACTAAATTGACGCAGCTTATGCCATCACGTGTGTTTAAGTCATAATGTGTGTTGTCAATTGCTGCATTACCCGCTGTGTTTGTGTACAAGTAGCTCTGCGTGTGGTGCGCACTCCAAACTATTCTGGTCGAGGCAAAAACAAAACAAAAGACTTCTTCTTCTGCTTCTGCTTCTTGGAAAGGTTTCCGACCCCTGCTGCAGACCAAAAGAAACCGTGACTCATATTCTACGAGAATACAAAAATAAGTCGTGGTCACGCATGGAACTTCGTATCTGTCAAATGTGGCAACCCCCCAAAACCCACCACCACTGCCATCACCAAACTTCCCCCCACACCTCCCCTCCCTCCCCGCTCACAAACGACGGTGAATGTCCCCCCCCCCCGCCACAAACCCTTGAAGCCCAGGCGCCTGGTTCCGAGCCAGGGTCGCTGGCCTCCTCCCATCGCATGCGGTCGCGTGCACGGGCGGTCGCGTGCACACGGAGTCGCGTACACGGGCAGTCGCGTGCATAGGGAGTCACGTGCACAGGCAACCGCGTGCACGGGGAGTCACGTGCACAGGCAACCGCGTGCACGGGGAGTCGCGTGCACAGGCAGTCGCGTGCACGGGGAGTCGCGTGCACAGGCAGTCGCGTGCACAGGCAGTCGCGTGCACAGGCAGTCGCGTGCACAGGCAGTCGCGTGCACAGGCAGTCGCGTGCACGGGCAGTCCGTGGGGAATGGCGGCGTCTAAAATAGTTGTAAATGTAAAAAAAAAATTGTCCTTAAAAAAATACTTTTTAAAGAATCTCCTCTCAGTGAGTCACTTTTTTTGGAAAGAAACTTGACTGTGAACGTAGAATTATTATACAGTACTGTATATGTATTATTTTAAGTTTATAAAATGTGTACAGTGTAAAATGTAAGCTTTTGAAATACACATTTTGAAAGCGAAATAAAAAAGCATGGAGTGAGTGCTGTGTGTCTGCGATGAGTGTGTGTGTGTGCGATGTGTGTGTGCGATGTGAGTGTGTGTGTCTGTGGGAGCTTATGACTGGCTCCAGTTTAACAGCAGAGGTCTCACTCCGAATCAGTCGAGCGGCATTATCTTTTCATCGGTTGCGTAACGCTGTGTGGAAGCTACCTGGTCTGTGGCTCCGCACTAAGCTTCAGGTCTTCTCGGCTACGGTCATTCCCTCACTTCTCTACGCTTGCGAAACGTGGACCCCCCCTAATGGAACATCTTCGCCGGTTAGAAACATTTAGGCTGGCCTGCCTATGATCCATCCTGGGCTTAACCAGACTGGATTGTGTGAGGAGCTCACAAATCCTTGAAAGATCTGGGCAAGGTCCCATCGGTGAGCTCCTCCGGCGGGCAAGGCTGCGATGGCTGGGTCATGTAGCCCGCATGCCCAGCCACCGCATGCCGAAACAGCTTTTGTTCGGCCGGATTGAGGGGGCTAGGCGGGCGCGGCACGGGCTAGAGAAGAGATGGAGTGATGTGGTGCAGGAGGACGTGGAGCTGAGTGGACTTGCCGATGACTGGTACCAGCGGTGTCAAGATCGGCCTCTGTGGAGGAGGCTCGTGAAGGATGCTACTGGGCAGTTGGAGGTAGTCACCCTCCAACAACAACGGAGGGCGGAGGAGCGACGCTCAGAACAACGAGCGGAGCGCCGGGTGGCTAAAGCACAGCAGGTTGGCACAGTAGGGGGCACAGGTGGTGCATCAGCCAGTCATCTCAGTCGACCCGTGGCACCTGGGTCTTCCCCGTGACCTCCTGCCAGCGGGCGTTCGACACTTCACGTGGCCTCAGGGTGCACATAGCCTGGCACAAGCGTCGTGGTGACGTCACCGCCACTTAGTGGCGAATGGCGGTTGTTGTTGATGTGGGGAGCGACAGTATAGCGGTTAGCGCGCTGCGCTATGAACCTGGCGACCCGGGTTCGATTCTCGCTCACGGCCAACACCAGTGACGATTATCTGAACCGGTCCCGGGCCTCCCCTAGGTTGACTCAGCCTCAAATGAGTACCTGGTGCGGTGTGTAAACATCGCCACTAGGGAGACAAAGGCGGTCGGGCGTGGTGCTGGCCACCCACCCCTTCGTGTACCGTTCCGGCCTTCATAGGTGCTCGCTAACAGCACTTGCCCCTACTGTCAAGGTTATATGGGGGATCTTTATCTTTGTGTGTGTGTGCGATTAGTGTGTGTGTGTCTATGAGTATGTGTGTGTGCGATGAGTGTGTGTGCGATGTGAGTGTGTGTGTCTATGAGTGTGTCCGATGTGTGTGTGTGCGATGTGTGTGTGTGTGTTTCTATGAGCCCAGTGTCCCTTCTCAAAGATGTCCCCAATCGTGGCCTTCTTTACAATCAGCTCTGTGAAAGATCGCGAGAACTCGCTCGTCTGTTTGCATTGTTAGTCTATGGGCAATGTTAGTGTATGGGAAATGATAGTCTATGGGAACTGTTAGCTATGGGCAATGTTAGTCTATGGGAAATGTTGGTCCCCAGCCTTTCCGGCGAGCGAGTGACTGCATGTTGACCTATTGAACTTTCCAGTTCAACTAACGCATCAAGGTTCCACGGGTGATCTCTGACAACACCACGCCAGGCCGACATTGTTACGCTAGTGGTGTTGATGACACCGCACGAGGTACTCATTTTAGGCCGAGTCAACATAGGGGAGGCCGGGGCACCAGTTGAGACGATGGCCACTGGTGTTGTTAGCCGTGGGTACCGAGTGGGCATCCTGTTCCTCGTCTCTGGAACTGTCCCCGGCTGCGGTCGTGTGGCGTTCACTCCCTTCATTGAATCACGCCCAATGACTCGCATCGAGACCCATAGACAAGCAAAGGCCCAGGAGAGGCGGGGTTCGTAAAGTTTGACTATTCCTCCTCCGTTGCATGTCCACAGTTGCACTGCCGAGGCTTCTCTACAATTTTCCATTCACGAGAATGAGAAGGTGCGCATCGGTCTGTTGATGCTCTGCTGCCTTCCAGGAGATAGAAATGTGAAAACCGGGTGGTCGCGATGCTTGGCCTCGAGCGAGGTGTTTATTTCGGGCTTGCGCGTTGTTCCACTCGGAATGGATGACAATGCTTTGAGATAAGGGGCCGCCCATAAATGACGTCACGCACCTGGGGGGGGGGGAAGTCAGACATGTACATTGAGGTGGGTTACGCACAGAGAGAGAATGCAGTTGCAGTTACTTGAAGCTCACCGAGTTCCCACAGAGTTGGCTTATTGATACACTAATATTAAAGGCACTATATCATATAATACCATACTTTCATGTTGATAAAATCTAACATCCTTAAATCTTGACTTAAAGCTTTCGTGACTGCAGTATTATTTGGGTCTCTCGGTAAAGCCACGTAGATAGGGGTGGTCCAGTAAACGTTACGGTCAGCCAGAAATGTTTCCGGTAGTTTGCTGGACGTGGAAAAATAAAATTGTATTTATTTATCTGGCTATATTTCCCCTCGATGGAAACTTGCACTCTGTGGCACGGGATAGGAATG